TAAACTGATATATATATATATACCAAGATATAGATATAGATATAGATATATACACCAATACATTCATACACACACACACACACGCACACACGCACACACACACACACATAGAAAAAAAGGTCAGTGTGTCAGTTTTCAATTTGTTGAACCTCTGCCAGTATTTATCAGATCATCCTGAAATCTGGCAGACTATATCAAGTATATCATAACCATCATGCTTTGGGCAATTAGGTAACAGGTGTCATTTTCATGATTAGAACTTGAGCCTCACAATGGTGGAACTTTGCTGTTACTATCTTAAGTAAAGCTAGTATTTTAGCACAATGAATTACAGTTTCTATCTGTGGAAATATTATTTCTCTGCTTTCTCTAGCAGGAAAGATAAAGATCTCTAAACAGAGATGACTGCTTTCTGTAGCGGGACATATCTTCTTCCTTGGTACTCAAAAAATATTGTTTTTCATCAGGATTTAAATCAGCATAAACTGGCAATTCACTGATGGCCACCTTATTCTATTGCCCTTTGGCACCACTATTCACAAACTCTTTTTCTGTACTTTCTTTACGCAGATGTGTGTCTCTGTCAATTAAAGATTGAAAAAATAGAGTAGCATCAATTTATCTTGTTCTCTCTCTTATTCCCTCTTGCTCCTTTCCTAAGACCCAATCACATCAAATCTTCCATCTGCTGGTTAACTGAAACCATGTTCTGCTTCAGTTATTCACATATAATTACATATGACAACAACTAAACTGAAAAGAGAGTGTGGTCAGGCTCTGGAGAAATAAGACAACAATGACAAAGACAGCCGTGAGAGAAACATTTCTCAAAGTAGTCTGCTACTGACAAAGTAATTATAGCATTCTGAAATGAACTAAGCATTTTTGTTTGTTAATAAATACATTATAGCCACCCTCGAGAACTTTGTTCCTCTCCTGGATTTGTCTTCTCTTGAAGTTTTTCTCATTTGACAGTAGAACTGAGATGAAAGTCTCAGCGTTAGAGATGGGCATGAAACAAATCACGAAGCAAAACAAATGAACAAGACGAATCAGGCTGTTTCATGGTTTGCTTCATTGCACTTTGAGGAAACATACCTGCCCAGAATGAAACAAAGCATCACACCGTTATTGGCATTGGTGATTAATATGCTTTGTTTTGGGGCACATGGTGCCAATTCCCTAGGCAATGTCATGATGGCTCTACAGAACACTTGGTGTAGGATTGATTGTCAGGTCAGGCAGCGAACCACAGAGCTCTATGTATCTTCTCTGGGAGTAGCTAGTTGAAGGAACCACATCTTGAGCAGCTCAGCTGGTGATTTCGCTTTAGTAGCAGCCGGTGTGAGAAGATGCCTAGCTAATTATTTCATTCATCATTTCGGCCCTCTCCCTATGTCTGCCCCATTTCTGTTCCCTCCCCAGTCCGTCTCATGATGAGCATCACCTCATCTCAAGTGCCCTTGCATGAATCACTAATTTAATTTCCCCCTAGCCAGCTGCTAAAGAGCACTTTCTTTAGGGAAACTGCTTTGGGGGGCATTGACTCAGACATCCCAAATACAATATTTGCCAAACTTGAGAGGGGATGGGGCGGAGAGTATATAAAAGACTTGATATGAGTTTGGCATCTCTAACTTGTGTAGGGGCAGTACTACAACTCCCAGAAGTCCCAAATAGCACAAATAGGGTCCATTTCTTCAGAAAGTTTGTGGTTTGTGGATAGTGGTGAACCATTAACTATTACAAACCACTGTTTTCCTGATTCATGCCCATCTCTCCTTAGTGTGCAATAAAATGACTGCCATAGCATGGTTGATCAATAGGGACTACTCCCTTTCCTTCACACAGCATGGAGGCAATACTAGGGCCCCATGGTATCTAACAGTTACAGCTCCATGCTTGTGCTAATAAATAAAATAAAACAAACAGTTTCATCCGGTAACCTTTGATTTGTCTGTGCCAATGCAGTGCTGAAGAAAAGGCACTATCAAAGGAATTGGAACAGTGGCAATAAAATGTTCTGGGAAAGTGTTGAAAATGGGCAACTGGTTCAATTCTCAGCTCACTAAATATGCATGTAAACCTGTGGCAAAACAAAAAAAAAAGATTATAATGAGGACCCACCACTAAAACCTCTTTAAATTTGGGAGTTCTTAAGAAGGGGGGGAACCACCAAAGGCAGCTCTTGCCCCATGTGTAATAAAATATTAATTGGCAGAGACTTATTTAGCCCTTATTAAGAGCGAGAGGTTGGCAGAGAAAGAAAAGTGAAGCCAAACAAGAGATTTCATATTTAAATATCAGGAAATGTCCACTATGTCAGGGCATTTATTGACTAGGAAGATGACTGGCTCCCACCTAGCCCACACAGCTTAAAAAGGGAGATTAACCTTTGCAGTAAACAGACCTATGTTTTAGGCTAATCTGCCAAATTTCAGAAAAGCACCAAAGACTTCTGTGGATACATATTATTTTCATTAAATCATGAAACTATAGAGCAGTCCTAATATTGAAAAAAAATAATGTAGTCTAAGTCCTTGTATTTACAGTAATGACAAAAATTACTATGCAGCCACATTATGGGACTCTTGTTAACTGTGCTTCAGGTTTCAAATGTTTACATACAACAAAAATGTTTGAAATGTCATATCTCTAAACACAGCAGCATTGGGCTAGATAGTATAATTTTAATTCTGAAAATTGCAGCGTGTTCCAGTCATACACATGCGTCTTTCTGAGGAAAAGCAAAAACCACTCATATGTATAACGAAATTGGTATACCATTCTTATATTCCACAAACTGTGGTCTACAAAGCTAAATTGTAACTTGGACAAAGTGTAAGTTTAGACAATCATCCAATGGCAATTTAACCAATGATTTTATTGCTCATTCCATTTTCTTTTACCCCGGTTTAGTTCTAAAGATTTCAGTTGCCATTTAGTCTGTATAAATTCAACTGCTTTTCTATCTACTTTAGTTTTATAAATATAACTCTGCTTTGTATCATAGCATACATTTATTTTAAATAAAAATTAAATTAACATCAACAAAATCTCCCAGTGAGGACCATCTATCAATAGCCACCTAGACATGACAGCCATATTAAATTTTGGAGAGAAGCACACACCTCTGCTCAATTCATGAGCCATCTAATACTTTCACACTATTGATGATCCATGACTGGAATGAGAGGGATGTAACTTTTCCAAGTATCTTCAAACGTGATCCAAAGAGCGGGCTAAAGTTCCATAGCTTGCTTTCAGGTGGTATAGAAGCCTGACGTGGGGAGAAAGCCTTACTATGCTGAAAGCCCTCCATACTAGCATGATGCTGGTTTTAGGTCCTTGTCTCTCAGCCAATGGTTTAAGGAACTGAATACGGTCATAGGTTTGAGGGGGAAATTGAGAAAAAGATGTGTCAGTGGCTAAAATCTTGTTGTGCAGTTGCACAAAAGGTTAACCTTTAGTTGTGAATTTCCATAAAACAAGAAAACTCCACAGGCATTATCCATTGCACACTGAGTCGCAGAACTCAGTATTCAACAAATAATGCCTACAGAGATTCCTTAACTTAATTTTCCTAACAGGATTTTACCTAATGAGTAAATGCAATATGGGTAGCCCTATCAGAATTCAGGAAAATAGAAATAAGGGACACATTCATTCAAAATGTCAGCCAGTTCTTGTACAGATCAGAGTTATAAAATGATTGGGGGTATGAGAAGTTAGCACAGAACTGAGGTGAGCAATAAGTATGTAGAATAAGTATGTAGAACAAGAGGTGAGATAGGAAGACGGGAATAATTGTTCCACTTAAGCTTTGACTTTGATCTACTCCCCATCAATATTTATGATGTCATTATGGAACAGGAATGATTCACTGTATAACCATAACTGATTAATAATCTACATTTAAATAATTAAAATGTTTATTTTAGCTATATATTCCCCAAACACCAATACAAATATACTGATGGACTCATAGAATAATTTAGGGTGAGATTAGAACATAGATTTAAGACATATATTGCATTTTCTGGACTGTTCTTTGCCCAATCAGACTGGAGCAAATATACATGTGTGAGTAAGATTTAAATTTAAAACTTCCAACCTACGGTTTCCACACACACATTTTAAAGTTCTTGGTATACAGTGTGAATCCCTCATAGGGGTCAATCACCATTTGGGGTTGTTGGCTGATCTGCAACTGCAGGATTCATTCAGCTCCTGCAAAGTAGTAGCTGGGAGAACTTAATCCCTTCTCCTCTCTTCCACCCAAGCAAGTGTGTGGCTGAAATGGTAGAACTAGCCACTCCCAACATCACCTGGCCTGTTCAGGTAGAACTCTCTCCTTCCTCTCTCCTGATTTACCATGCCTGTTATAATAGCTAAAATGGATTTACAAAAAAATGTGAAATTTGGAAATGAAAGAATACTGCCAGTGTATCTATCAAACTTGTATGTATGAGTAACTAACATTAAATTTTGTTAGTAACTTTGATCCAGCTATGTTCCCCCACCCACATACTTGCTTATTTAAAGTAAGAATATGACATTAACTGAGAATATTATGCCTGGTTAATATAGAGGAAGAAAATATTGCATTCAGAGAAATGAGTTCAATTTTTTAAAAAAATAATAATACAGTAATAGATTTGGTAGTGCTGCTAATATGCAAACATACATTGCCCTCATATTTCTAGTATGCAATTAGGCAGTTCAGTGATATTTAAAAGTACTCCAGCATAAGTTGCTCTCTTCTCATCTGAATTCTTCTCAAATGTTCAGTATTTGCATAGCAAGAATATATATTAGTTCATACTGTAATTTACAACTAGCTTGGTTGTTCCCACAGCAGGATAATGATTGTTAAGCATGCCTGAACTAACCGTCTGTAACAAATGAATACATTTTGCCCTTATAATAGGAGGTACAATTCTATTGGTAACCCCACCTTTCGCTGTCTGGGAGGGAAGAACGGTTTTCATTAAATATACCTTGATAAGGAGCACTAAATCCACGATATCGGTGGTTGCTGTCTGTTACAAAATGAAGTCTTAGCCAGTTTTTGTTGCTGATAATTGGAGGTGGTATATTCATTCCAGATAACCTGAGTAAGAAAAAGGGAAGAAATAAAACAAACAAAAAAACATTTAACAGGAGTCAGAAAGCTCAGTCAGTTGCCAAGACAATCATGCCTTTCTAAAGGTGTTATATTGTTCCCACTTGTAACCTATAAAAAAGAGAGAGTTCTCCTCCATCTTTTATACTACTTAATGTTTCTGGATTTTTTTGAAAGTCAAAGGCTTGGAACAATTTCCTTATAACTTATAATGTCTGAGACAATTTTATTTGGGGCAAGAAGAGATGGTGAAAGGGGTTTGTAAAAACAATAGCAGGGTGTTGGACTTGATGGCCTTATACTGTAGGCCCCTTCTAACCTAATTATTCTACCATAGAGTCTTATAAAAGTAGCACTTGACTGGAACCAAATTTTATCCAGTGTACTTGACATTCTAGACAGACAAAAGGAAACACCTCTTCATGTGACTCCTAATTATAGAATTTCCTTCTATGATGTTAGTTGCCAACTTAAAATAATTTCCAATGGGAATTAAAGAGGTATATGGGGAATAAGACTTTTTTTAAATGAAGGCATTTTATGTTGCCTCTAGAATCTGAGAATTCCTTTGGATTCCTACTAATATAGGAGAAATTCTTATTGCTCTTATATTAGTAGGGAATGGTGATTGACCACGTTTTTTAAAAATTTCTGCAGCATTTGGCTAGCTACTATGAAGATGATGAGCATCTTAAGTCAACAATTTTGGCCAATGGTTTAGCTGAAAATAGGGTCCAGCGATTTCTGGGGACAAGTTCAAACTTGTCAAATTCTTTATATTAGTGAGTTAAAACTGAAATCCTGGAGGAAAACAACCCTACCCGGTTTTTAATTGCCCATTCTAGGAATTTCCTTGAGTAAATGAGTCCCTAGCTCCTGCCACTCATCTTATTCTCACAGCAGGTTAACCTGAGAGACTTTGACTAGTCCAACACCTCCTATAGCATGACAGGTAAGATTTTTGAATTTCTATTTCTGAACTTCAAGTCAAACACACTAGCTACTACATCATACACACACATATTCTATCCATTTACACAAACACATGCCATTTAAATAATTGTTTCTTCATTAATGCCAGTGATGGGAAGACAGTGATCTTAGAAGTTGGGAAATCTATTTGTCACACCACACAACAAGATCACTGTCTTGTTGCTGCAATATCTCTACAGTCCATCTGATCAAGTAGACTGCCGGTGACAGTGGGTAGAGTTAGGATTGCTTCACAGGCCACACGTGCTCAAATAAATGCCAGATATAGCCACTGGGTTTTGCACCCGTATTCAAAGCTTCTCTGGATCCATAGGCAGTGCAATGAAAACATATCCTCATTTGAGAGCCATAATTAAATGACAAAAATGAACATCATATCAGGCATAAAATATATACAAACATCCAAGTGATGGCTACAGTTTCTGCTAGCTTGAAATAACATGGCTTGAAGTTACCTATTGGATGATACTTCATTCCTGTTGAGTGACTTTCACAGAACATCTTTCCCACTTTGCTGGAGCAATTTTAGTCAGCTTGGGGGTTATTTACATGTTCAGACAAAATGCTTGATCTCCATTTACATTATATGCATCTTAGACCTGTCTTCCGCCTCTGACATTCATACTGGTCTCTTTTGAATAAGTGTAATTTTTAATTTTCTTCATTTTCTATAAGTTTTTCTTTAATTTGTATTTTATTCAACTTACTTTTCTCCCCCCCCCCCGGTACGTTTCTAATTTAGATCTACCCGATAATATAAAATATTGTAATGAGATAATTGTTTTGTTCTTAGAATCTCAAATTAGTATACATTAAAAATAAAAGTCAAAATTCAGGATAATTTTTAAAATGTGGATTATGCCAACAGGACAAAAAAGTCTTAATTCCTTTTTTTTAATATACCAAATGTCACAATTTATTTATTTATTTATTTATTTGTTCTTAAATTCAAGGGGGACTACTATAATTTTCTCATAACACTTTGAATTAGTTTTGAAGCTACTCCTTGGAATGTCTCATTTTATCAATTACCTTTTCCATCAGTCTAGCATCAGATTTTTGAAAAGGAGAGATGCTGCACTTATACCATGTTGCAGGAGTCATCTTTTTTACAATGAATAAAGAGCAGGGTCCCGATACTGTAACTGTGCCATTTCATCAGTAGCCTGGAACAGTTACCATTAATTCTGTTCACTCAGCTGTAGAACCTGACAGATGTGGGTGGTTCTGATTTATGAAGAAGCAGTGTGAAGAAGCTATTACTACCTGAGGTAAAAATTAAAGATATTTGTGTGTTCTGTGTTGCAACAAGAACGGAGGGGTGAGAGGTTAAAGTAACGTAAGGTAGAACTATATATTTCACTAGGGCTTCTTTTAGAAAATATTACAGACTTTAAATGAGGAGAATATTATTGTGGATTTACATTGACATAAGTGTACTTGTGTATGCATTATCCTAATGAATACCCTATATTGCAGACAAGAAGCTACTGTTAGGATAGAAGGGTTTTCCTTATGCAAACATGTTGCACAAAGCTGTATTTTATCTCCCCATCTGTTCAATCTGTATGCAGAATATATTGTATGAGAATCTTGATTAGATTCACATGAAGAAGCAGTAAAATAGTGGAACATCAGTAGTTTAAGGTAAGTAGTACCAGAACACTGCAATAATTTGAAACAACTCCTGATGAAGATGAACGAAGGAAGTGCAAAGGCAGGACTGCTTAAGAAGCCAAAGCCATTAGTACAAAAGAACTACGTAACTTTCATATTTAACTATGAAGAAACAGTCATCAATAAAGGAGCAAATTCTGGTTAGTTGGACGGGGAACACTTCTTATTTCATTACTGGTCCTTTGGTGAACAGAGTAAGTTACAAGTAGAGTAAATTGAATTAGCGGAACATTTGTTGGAGTTGACTCACCAAATATTCACGGATTCAGTGGGTCTACACTAGTTGCAATTTGCTATTCCAACCAATTAGAAATAATCACAGCAACATATCCTCTCACCTTTCCATACTTTTTTCAGCCTCAGTGTGCAACACAACCCCTTCCTCAGGCCTACTTTGCCTACTCCTCACCACCCTGATGTGAAACATCCACATCCCTGTTGTACATCTGGTGACATTCCAGAGCCTTCACAGCTCACATGAACAGAGTTCGTGAAAAAATGTAAAGCAGGGATTTTGCAGTATAGGAACTTAAAAATGAATCACTGTGCTTTCAAACAAAGCACAGTGATTAGAAGAAGCCATTCATTTTTGGAGAACCAAGGACCAGAGGTGTGTGTGTATACACACACACACACACACACACATATTATATATATATATTGTGCGCGTGTGTGTGTGTGTGTGTGTGTGTGTGTGTGTGTGTGTGTGTGTGTGTGTCTACAGTATATATAAAATGAACACATAACTGACTTCCTTCTGATTTAGAATGGTTGCTTTCTTCTTTTGTGAGAGATGGTACCCATTCTTTTTCTAAGAAATGACAATTCTAATGGCATAAGAACATAAGAAGCACCCTAATGGATCTCTTCTGAGTTTGGCAAAGAAAAGGGTCAGACTGTGCTAAATTTGACCCTAGTCTGCAAATCAGTTTTGGATTAGAAGACTATGCTTAGAGCCCCCACTCCAAGTAATGGATGACAGAACATTCTTTCCAGTGGCCACACAATATTAGTGTAGCTTATACCACAAATGTTCGTAGCATTCCAAACAGAACTCAAATTGAACTAGTTACTTGTAATTAATTATTTTTTCCTCTGATATTAGAGGTACTCCTCTACTTTATATTAGAATTGCTTCACAATGAAAGAGACCTCCACATCTTTTGCAACATAACTTTTAAACTATTGAGTAGACCAGATAGGCAGGGTATTAA